TGGACATGCCTAATGTTCATAAACACTCTGCTGTGAAGGGGGGACTGAGGACTCTGATCTGAAAGGGGACTAAGGGCTCTGATGTGTTGAGGGAGACTTAGTACTCTGCTGTGAAGGGGGGACTGAGGACTCTGATGTGAAGGGGGACTAAGGGCTCTGATGTGTTGAGGGAGACTTAGTACTCTGCTGTGATGGGGAGACTGAGTACTCTGATGTGAAGTGTGGACTGAGGACTCTGCTGTGATGGGGAGACTGAGTACTCTGCTGTGAAGGGGGGACTGGGGACTCTGCTGTGAAGGGGGGACTGGGGACTCTGCTGTGAAGGGGGGACTGAGGAATTCGTGGTGAAGGGGGAACTTTGGACTTTGATGTGAAAGGGGGACTATGCTATTAAAGAGGGGGCACAGATGTGAAGGTGGGCTCCTAGTGTAAAAGAGGGGATTCTGACTTAAAAGGGGGGGCTCTGATGTGAAAGGTGCTCCCAATTTGAAAGAGGGACCCCGCTTTTTTTATGTTTTTGCAAATGGGTCCCCCAGTAAAATCCATACCAGACCCCTATCTCGGATAAGGACCACATGTAATTTTTTACATTTTAGTTTTTTACATTTTAGATTGGGATGCCTCGAGATTTGGCTATTTTTAAGGTGCCATGACTGATGTTGGACACCTGTTGTATGATAACTACATTTTCAACAAATATTTTATTTCTATCTGGCTCTCTGTGTGGCATGCGTGACCCATCATCCAACATTGAAATCATTGTTCTCTTTGTCAGTACCAAACAAGTGCAGGCATAAATCTATCCTGCCAGACCCCAGTGTACATAGAAAAGACCCCTTTGGTGGATGGATCATTACCTGAAACCAACTGTCAGTGGGTACTTATTGAAGTTCTCTCTCTGTCTACATTGTGTCCCCCCCCCGCCTTCTTCTACATCTGTTTTCACCCCCCATGTGAATGTCTACATCTGTCTCATTTTAATATCCGCACATTTACCACAGTGCAGTAAATCACATCTGTTTACCACAATTAGGTGACAACAAACAAATATTTTACTAAGTGTGATTCCTTTGATTACACTTCACAGCAGGGTACAGCTGCCATATGTCTATCACTGCTTGAAATAAAATAACATTTCCGCTCAGAGTTCCTCGGTTCTGGCTGAAAGTTTGAAAAATGTTGGTTTATATAATATTAGTGGTAATAATATAAATAAAGAGTCATCCTGAGCAATTCTGTGTGTTATTTGTTATTTCACTGCATGCATACTCTGCTTATACTAATGCTATATATACACTCTGGTGTTCTGGTCAAATGCTCGGGAATAATATATTTGCTTGGTTCATGTGAAGGTCAATAGTAGATGAGTAGATAACGATTATGTAACATGTCTAGTAAATGTCATTTTGAAGGAACTCAGCTTTGCACGATTATTTATGTTACCTCTAAAGGGATATTAAAGTGAAAAGGTTTGTAAGCCATTTCAAATGTTGATCACTTTCAATGGATGCTGCTTCTTGATGTTTAACAGTTTTAGATGGCTGCAGAACCAGCTGGTCCTCTGAGCACTGGTCCTAAAAACCTGGTTTAAGGTGACTCTTTTCCCTTGCAGGGTCCTATGGAGCCACCCTTGTGTGTTCTAGTAAGCTGCATGTGTCTCTACAAATACATACAGGGTTATTCACCAAAAAGGGTGAAGAGTCTGGAGAAGCGAACAATCTAGGCCAAAATAGCTGATTTGGAAAAATTCTCCAGCTCACTTTCCAGTTCAGCTATGATGTCCTAGATTGTTCACTTCTCCTGCCTTCTCCAAACTCTTCACCCTTTTATGAATAACCCTGATAATAGACACAGCAAGGACAGACACTCTCCTGCTCCCCTCTCCTCCTTCCTCCCTTCTTCAAGCTAAAAGCTGGATGGTTGCTGGAGTGTGCTTTGTCCCTTGTGATCTTGGACTGGACAGGAAGTTCAGGGAAGCCAAGCTGAGAGAGTTGGAGCCAGCTGTTTGCAAACATCTACTTGGGCAAAATTGTAAAGAAATACATTGCTGGGAAATATATATTTGTTTGATCTGGATTCATTACTGAAATAAGTGTCCGAGGTTTTTACTACTTTAAGTAACAAAATCACTGCCACAGTGGCTACAGAATATTATCATACCTGGGGAGTTTTAAGAATCAGAAGTCCTGGGATTGGGGATGGAGAGGTTTTGTTTGTAAACAAATGGCACAGAAAAGTGGGAGGGGTCTTAGGATAGGATTCTACAGTTAACTACAAATCAATATCAGACTTATATTTTGCAGAATATTGCACAGGACTGACTATGGAGAGCTCATATCACTGCAGAGTAATCCAGATAACCACCTATAGGGGTCGATAGCGCTGATCAGAGAAATCTGTAGCAATGATGTGTGGGCTAACACTTTATTGGGGCATTAGCTAGGTACCAATAAGGTACTTCTAATGATGTGTGACCCACTAATGACTGCTGCTTTTTTCTTCAAATTTTTTTTTACTAACATGCACCCTCTGATGTCACCACTGAAGTTCCGGTGGTGGAAATGATAGTTGGGGCTTGAGACATCAATCACAGCGTGTTGCTTGTTCTGCAGCCTCTCCATTCGTAAAACGTCTTGTATTCTTTTTAAAGAAGGCGTTATGTGATTGGACAAGAGGTGTATGAGCATAACAATCACCCCTTGCCCAATCACAAAAAATAATACAAGACAGGTCAGACAAACTGATGGTCAGTTTTACCAATGGCAATTCAGTGGTGAATTTTTGAAGAAAGAAGCAGCAGGTCACATATAATTAGTGGTACCTTTATGGCACCTATCTAATACTCTAATAAAGTGTTAGCCCACACATCAGCTTTATGGAAATTTTGCCACATTTGTTCTCAGTGGTGGAAAATGATGCCACTAAGAGCCAGACGGGGAGATATGTAAGGGCTCTGCATCTTCCCGCCCAGCTCTCCACCGATGAGACCACCGCAACCCCTATTGATACTGCACCATCCATCAACAACCCCCCTGCGGTAAAAATGCTAGGGACACCTCTGCTTCTTAAAATTTTATGTTGCCTGACTCTCTCTTGTCTCAGGACTATAAGTCAGTGACCCAGAGCAAACTGATGTTAGAGCAAAGTCTCAACCTCTTATGTGCATGCCTATTCTGGGTCTGTGACGCAAAAAGTCTTAAAGCTGGGGGATCAGCATGGAACCCAGACATGCCATGTTTTCAGAAAGAGAGGCCAGATATTGGAAGCCTACATTTTCCTTTAGTGCAGCTTTCATCAAAATAAACATGTAGCAGGAGGAATATATGAGATAACATTGCTGACCTCCTATTGCAAATACTAGTTGCCTGGCTGTCATTCTGATCCAATGGTTTCAATACTTTCACAGATTCACAGGGATTTAGATTTCACTCATACTTCTTGCTGTATGCTTGTTCCAGGTAAGTATTTACGGCATTTAGACAGCCAGTCAACTAACATTTTCAGGAGGGGGTCAGCAATGGCAGCCCACATATTCCTCTGAGAACAAGTTTAAGTATTTTAGAGTTCTTTTATATCTTGCTCAGTAACATACGAGTCCTCCACATAGAACACAAAATACTGTAACTGTGATGTATTTGTCTTTTTTGGCACTTGTAACATTTTTCTGTTTACCAAGAAGCTATAGGCCACATTCCTCTGCCTACGGTTAAGATTTTCCATAGTGCGTGCCTGATCACCCACTGCCACACACATGTTCCCCTCATGTCTTCTACAACAATTTTTAATCCTACGTGTTTATGCTAGAAATGCATAGCGCTCCATGTCATGTCCTCAACATAAAGTAATCTCCCCTTATTAGATGCAGCAGCTTTGGTGATGTAGCAACAGTGGTGATCCACTGGCAATAATGACCAGACCTAAGGGATAATGGGGTTTACCATGCAAGGCCCCATACGTATCTATCCCTCTCCCTTCCAAATGCTTCATCTGAGGAGAGGTTGAGGTGAGGCCCTGGACCTGCTGATTTTTAAATCGTAGATAAAAAGGCCAACATTTCCCGAGTTCGGCAGCTCTTCACTAGGCTGGGGGTTCCCTCCCTATGTAAAGGTCACCCTGCTTGAGAAATCCACATGCAGTCAAACCAGAAAGAGTGGCACACACGTATAGCAATTCCACAATTGTATTTTATGAATTTATTATTTTTTATTAATAAGGTTATCACAAAGGCAACAAAAAACAGACAACACATTTCAGGGGCCAAACGATCCCCCCTTCATTAGGGCTTTAACAACAGTCTCAAAAATGTCAGTTTAATCAGAGCCGTTGATATACTGTATATACAACGATGATTTACTTGAACAGCCGTGCTTTAGACACTTAGGCTGCTGTGTTTTTTTTTAGTAGCACAGTACCGTGATTGTACCTTACTCCTATGGATAGAGCTAAAAGTATACCACAAATTAAAACATTTTCAGCTTGGACTATACAAGTTCTTCTGTAAAATAAATTGATTCACACAAATCTTATGCATCAAAGTACCTGGAAGTTGAACTCTGTTTTGCCTCATACTCATTGATCAACACAATTCTTATGTAGTCTGCTCTGGTGCACAGGGGCCCACAATGACAGTTGAGAGCTATTCCTTCGCTCTGCAGGTGGGCTAGACCCTAGTTAAGATGCTTACTCATTAAAAGACATGGTATGGTATTGGGACTGGAAATAAGGAGTTTTCTAAAAGATGCTGACGTTTGATGCAAAGGTAACCGCTAGAAGGCAAGAGGTACCAATCTCTACATAAAAATATAACTCTGTAAACATAATTTTTACATTTTAATTGAAATTCAGATACATTTAAAGTCAGAACATTTAATCAAAGATTACTTGTGGGAAATATTTCTTTAATAATTTGAAATAAATGCATTAAATAAGTACATAAAAATGTTCTTTTATTAAATAATGCTTATTTTTTTTTAGAGTACAGGGTGCTAATAGCACTAACCCAGAATGAAGCTCTTAACCGTCTGGGGCGTTTTGGTCCAGTTCCTCCTCCTTTGCTACCCCTACCATCTTCTAACCTCTGCAGCTGCCATCAAACCCACGGAAGTCGGAGAATGCAGCAGTCAGCAGGGACTCACCATCACCCACGTCTATAGTGTTCCCGGGGAAGACAATGAGCAGCTACAAACTGTGCAATCAGATAAAAACAATCTTGTTTTTCGGCATCATCTTCAGCTGCAGAACCCGGCTGGAGACTGTGAGAAAAACTCACTATTAAAAGACCTCCTGGCCCGGCTGCAGGCACTGGAATCAGACTTCATTGAGATGAAGGAGAAATATGAATCGGAGATGGCTGAGATGAAGGATGGCTTTGATGGATGTTGTGGAGCAGGTAATTACTGGTTTTATCACTCTGTATCTGTATTGTGGGGATCTTCTTAGCAAGGACACAACTATGGGTGGAGTGAGCAAGGGTGGGATTACAGGTAGTCTAGGCAGGGGTGGGACTCCAGACAATGCATGAAGGGCTAAAACTACAGGGCCTGTAGGCACATCCTGGATGTGTAGTTAGGAGCACCTCTTAAAAAATGGTTATCTTGTTTTATTTGAGTTGTTATTTGAATGGAAACATCTATTTTGAGTTGTTATTTGAATGGAAACATCAGATACAGCCAATGTGTTTTGAGTAAAATTGGACTCCCCCTTCTTCAGTGCTTGAGCAACAATATGGAATAGAATTAGAAAGAGCTGTACTTTTTAGCTGGAATTAGGGCTGGATTAGCGCTCAGTATCAGCATGACCCGTTGGCAGTGAGAACTGGATTCTATTGCATGTTGTTGCTTAAGTCCTGAGGAAAGGGTCCTATTGCCCCGAATTGCATTGGCGGTATCTGACTTTTCTGTTCAAATAAGCAACTCAAAGAGACCTTCAAGCGAGATGAGCATTTTTTAGTAGACACTCCTAACCACACATCCAGAATTTGATCTTCTGATGAGTGATTCCCCCATCTCAACCAGAGAGGCAGCAGCCTAGGACCATAACCAGGTCCACACAGTACACAAATACCCTTATCATATGTTTACCTTCTACAAGGAGTACATGCCCCACTTTCTCAGATTTACATTAACACCGATTCCTACTCCTACTGGTCCAGCACTACCACTAGAGTATTTATCAGGCCTTTTAGGCAGGAATGGAACTCCTGGCAGTATAGGCAGTAGGGGATCTACTGCCAAAACATTCAAGGGAATGACTAATAAAAGTTCAAGAAGGGGTAGAACCACTGGTAGAGCAGGCAGAGGAATGCCTAGAAATGGAGGTAGGGGTGCAAATCCAGGCACTGCAGGTAGGAGTTGACTTCCTGATAGTGAGGTTAGTGACCTTTCTAGTAGTGCAGGTAGAGAAGACCTATTGAAAGTTCAGGTAAGGATGGAAGTACTGGCAGATAACTTTCACTGGGTTGGGAAAATAACAGGGTTCATGCCTGTGAATAAGGGCCCCATTTGTTGGGTTTTCTACAGCCTCACACCCCCACTGCACTAGCTTCTCAAACCTGTCCTTGAGATAAACAAAGACAAATTTCTTATTTCATGGCTATCTGAACATACTAGATGTATGTACCAAAGAGTTTGCCTGTCATAGCCCAGGAAGGACTATGGCATTACTTCATCAAGCTATTTAACCAGTTGACATCCGCGGTGTTAAACCCCCTTCCCATCCAGGCCATTTTTCAGTATTCAGCGCTGCGGTACTTTGACTGACATTTATTCCGTCATGCAGCGCTGTACTGAAATGAATAAAGTGGACCTTTACCCCCTTTGACTAAAATTCACATCGGCATACAACTCTGCATGCCCATATGAAATCATCTTACCTTCATTAGCTAAACAAACATTTTTATTTTACTTAAAATTCATTTTTTCCACTTCCTGGTCCTCTTTGGCACAAATGATGTAATTTGTTCCCAAGCATTGCATCCTGGGAAGGTTACATCAGCAGAGCATTGCTAGGAAATCTCATCTGTAATCTCATGAGATCGCAGGGAAAGGCATTTTCCTCCACAGAGATTATGTGCATGGTCACATGTCTTAGTCATATGTGCCAGAGTTTCATGAAGTAAAGGGAGATAGATTCATCTGCCCTTAGTTAAGATGGCCACTGTCAGAAAACTGGGGAAGAAAAGAAAAATAAGGTATGCAAAAAAAAAGCCTGCAGTATCTGCTTGTAGATTGTCATTACTAAACATTTCTAAAGGTGCCTTTGATGTTATTTTGAAGATATGGATAGTTTAAGGCTTGTTAAAATTTCATACAATATCTGTTTGCTGTTAGCCATTGGTCCTAGTGGTACTGATGCAGATAGGGCAAACTATCTATTTTTTGACTCCCAGTCCCCAATCTCATTGTGTGTTTTGCTATGATTTCTAATTTTGTTAGTGTAGTATTAAAGCTGGTCATTCACATTGGTAAGGGGGTAGCACGAAACGCTTGGCGTAGGTAGTAGGAATGGTAAATCTGGCCTGGATTCTTATTGCAGTTCCGCAATGTGCACCTCTTTCCAAAAGACTGGCCTAAAGAGTAGCCAAAAGAAATCTCATCGCTCCAATTCCTTAGCCGCCATCAGGACTCCCCAGGTGCTGGTCTAATAGGTGCATCTCCACCTTGGAATGTAGTAGTATACGAACAGACCGCACTATCCAGAGAATTCCAATACTTCAGACTTTATTGAAATTCACAGCAAATCCAGTGTAACAGTATATGTACCAGCAAATACCAGCACCGCAAACCCCCAGCCAGCTACAACCTCTCACATGTTTCTCTCATAGGCTTATGCATAGAGTTTGAATTTCAATAAAGACTGAAGTATTGGAATTCTCTGGATAGTGCGATCTGTTTTTATACTACTAAAGAGTAGTCACTTTGTGGTTCTTCACATATGCTTCACGAATGCTACTGCTCCTTTTGAAACAGGAGTCCAGATGCTGAAAGTCCAATAAACCATGTTAACCAAATCACAGAGGATGGTGAGACAATGCTTTAATCCAGTGCTTAATATGTTATTGAATTACTGCAGTGTTTGTAAAAAAAGTGCTGCAGAAAAACCAGAGGTTGATCTTTAAATCACTGCTAACCCTGGGCTACTTGGCATCCCTGCCTAATGAACATCAAATGCTGTATGCAGCGATTAGAACAATAAATTATACAAACAGGGTCCACGCTATCCAGCTGCAATATTACAACTTGCCACAAGATGGCATTCTGGGCCAGAAAAAACAGCCTTGAGTAAAGAGAGCAAAGTTATTTGTATGGCTAAATAAATCTTTCAGACACTCACATTAAATCCCTCTTCGAACTGATAGATAATGCATTATTAGCCGTAAAATTCCTTTTTTTATCTGTAACAATAAAAATTCCGCAAATAAACTTGTGTAGCAAATTCATGTCAAGCACCATTACTGATACTAAACAAAACCCTGCTTGAGTTACTGAATTTACCAACTGAACTGTAATTAGAGATACGTATTTCCCTCAATTAATCTTATGGTTACAAACCTTTAAGCAGATGCAGTATAATAGATTTTCTTTTAAAGTTTAAGACCCCCCCACCCTCCCGCAGTAGTTGCCCGGCTAAGCAAAATAATCTCGGATATACTTGAATCACAGGTGTTAGCAATACGTCGTAATTATCTACACTTGTTCTTCATCCACTTCATGATTATCTCACAATTACCTTAGTTATCCTGCCAACGGGTTTGAATTTTCCTGAGAAATTATATTCACAATAGGCATACGTAATATTCTTATATTTTTAGATGCTGAATTGAAAAATGGAGCACACACAGTTAGCAATTTTCTGAATATGTTTTGTTCTCTCTTTTTTCTGAGTTGAAGGCATAGCACAATAAAATGGCCATTTAAAATGGCCTGCAGAGAACTTGAAACTGTACGTTGAACTACATAATGATGAATCTCTATGAAAGGCTGCACAAATAACACTTTGTAGATTAAACTGTTTGTATAACTCATAGACCTTCAGTGGTGTAACAATAGCAGTAGCAGGTCACACGGCTGCTATAGGACCATGGGGTAAAAGGGGGCCCCAGTAGGGGAGATGTTGAGGCAATGTAAAGATAGAAAATCGGTGTGCATGTTAAGATAACACAAATCCTGTACAGTATCATTAACGAATGTAGACGTTACTGTTGACACTGACCCTGACAATTATGAAGAGTTGATGTCAGATGCACAGGGAGGAGACTTCAATTGTTGTCACTAGTCACAGATCCCCCTTTGCAGGTTGTGCAGGAAGGAGAATTTATTTATTTGGCTTAGCAGTGTAAATGTATTGTGCTCAGAGCTTCTGGTCATCCTGGCCAGTACTGAAATTATCCCTGTATGCCTTACACTAGTGGTTTCCAACCCAAAAATGGGTTTGTAGATGTTAGTATTGGTGCATCCCTAAATTTCACCTTTGGGGGTCACCACAACTTTGCAAATGTTACCAAGGGGTCACGACCCTAGAAAGGTTTAGAACCACTGCGTTACACAGTCTTTCTCAGGTATGTAAGAAATCTCTAGAAAATAAAAATTTTCGTAGTACTGACATGCCCCCCTCCCACACACACACACACACACACACACACACACACACACACACACACACACACACCATCCAATGATCCAATACCTGATATGAGACTTGGGAGTCAGAACACAGTCCTACTGAGATGCTTTGCACCGCACTCAGGAAATACAGACAATGGCACCACCGCATGGAAGTGTTAATGAACCCTATAGCCAAGGCATGTCAAACTCAAGTCCAATGTTTGGCCGCAAAGGCATTTGCAATTTAATTGGTGGGCACAGACGAGCAGACGAGTGGATTTATTCATTTATTTATTATATATAACCGGATATTTCTATCCCCCTGCACCAATGTACCACCCAAAGCGTGGATCCGAAGCACACCAACACACCTTCAATTGATCTTATAGCAGATTTACTGACAAATCAGATATGAATAACTATAATACAATAGTAATGACAACAATCACCAACAATAATGTGTAGCAACAGGCTAAGGCACCCTGCAACTCAGTAACTGCAGCTATCTGCTGTCAGCACTGATGTATGCGAGGCCAATTGTCTTTAAATGTCCTCCCTTGAATGGGGTGTACGTCCCTTTAAGGTTTCCCTTTGGCAATGCTCAACTCTTCCTAGACTACTGGCCAGTAGTGGTGTCCTAAGCTAGCCGGCGTTGGGGCCCTTACTGTAGTGCAGGTATGAACAGCAAACAGGTTGTCAATGTGGCCAAAGGCCTCTCACCAATCCTCAGGTCAGTTGGAAAAGATGAAGACTGATAGCAGATGCTGGACGTCCTCTCTCCCTCTTCAGCTCAGACGCAGTAGGGGAAGTCGTCTGGGTCCTTGGTAGGAAGTCTTCACTCATCCAGGATGCTTACAGTCATCTCGGTTGGCTCCGTCTGGCTTCCCTCTCTCTCTCAGCTGGGCTAGCTGAATCACCCCGGCGGCTGGTTCGGCCGTGCGACTAGGCCTCGACTTCCTTTACGATAACCGCGTCACCGGACCTCACTTCAGGCACTCGATCGGATCCTCTCCAATTCAGCAACTCGGGTCAGTCTCTCTGTACACCGCAGCACAGAGCCTGTGTGTCCCTGTATATCAGCGGTGACCACACAGCTCTGTTGCACACAGTCTTAACCCACACAGGGCTTCACAGGTCTGTCCTCTTCAGATGGCTGTCCCAGACCTTGCGCATACAGCAGCCACCGCCCCTAAGTCTCCTCCTCTCTCCTGCACAGCCTCCTGGGAGCTGCAGTTTCAGAGATCATTCCTGAAAATGTTTCAGTCTCTGCTCTGCACTCCAACTCCCATAAGTCTCCGCCTCCAGGGCACACAGAGGCCATTAACTGTTATATGTTATTGGGAACATCTAGAAATTCTAATTGTGCCTAAGCAGTATCCTGAAAGTTTTACTTTTAGTCTTGAACGTCTCCTGAGAGACAAGTGGTTGTACCTAGGCACTCCTGTTCTGTAGACCTGTATATCTGCATTTTAAGATCATCTCAGGCACTGCTGTCTCTGACAACATTTGGAGTAAAATTTTACAATGTCACTACAGTGCTCCTCACTGTTCTCCTTGCTGAAGGCTCACAGGTATAAGGAAGCAAAACCCTGCCCTTACTAGAATGACTGCCTCCACGAAGAGACATGGAGGGGAATATCCAAACTGGAGCAGACAAAATCTGGAGCAATTGCCCAAGGCAACCAATCAGCTTCTATTTTTCACTTTCAAAGCTTAACTAAACAAACTGAAGAGAGAAGCTGATTGGTTACTATGGGCAACTGCTCCATATTCTGTCTGTTCCAGTTTTAATAACTTCCCCTCAATGATGTGGAACAAGACAAGGTAAGTCAGTAATAAGTAAAACATCAGCTGCAGGCAGACCACAGGCAATGCTGTTGACTAGACAATTGCCCTCTGGTTGCCTTTTTTGGGATAGAGCAGAGTTCAGTTCCTTTTGAAAAACTAATAAACTTTTTTTTTTTTAAATGTAAGATACAATTGTGCCAAAACAGTCAAAGTTTCCCTTCAATCTCTTGTTTCATGTTTTTCAGGAAAATGCAATGGGAAAGGAAAGTTTGTACCTGAATTGGGAATCTGCCAGTGTGATGAAGGCTGGGCAGCACCTGACTGTTCCTCAAGAAGCTGCCCAGGCAACTGTGGCGGAAATGGCGTGTGCATTGATGGTGTCTGCCAGTGTGCAGAGGGTTTCACTGGTGATGACTGTAGCAATAAAAAATGTGCCTATGACTGTGGCAAGTTTGGAACCTGCGTGGATGGTGTCTGTGTTTGCGTAGAGCCGTACACAGGTTCTGCATGCAGAAAGAAGAAGTGCCCCGTTGACTGCAGCCCACACGGCAAATGTGTCGATGGAGTATGCCAATGTGCAGAGGGATACACCGGAGTAGACTGCAAAGAAAAAAAATGCTCTGTTGACTGTCGACCAAATGGTCGCTGCGTTAATGGCGTCTGCGTCTGTGATGAAGGCTTTATAGGAGATGACTGTTCCACCGGTAAGAAACTTTTCACTATTGCAAGAATCATAAACCACATCCATAAAAGTTAAATCCCAGGCCAACAGGGAGTTGTTTTACCTGCCAAAGTATTTGAATTTCTGTTCATCCAGTTCTGAGATTTACAGTGCCCTGCCAGACAGCACAGCCACATGTGGCAGGGTAGAAGACCTTTTCTCTGCTGCAGTTCAGCAACACTTATAGGTCTCCACTCCATTCCCAGCTTGTAGCAGGACAGGGAAAAGAGAAGCAGCAAACTGGTGAGCTCATATCTCTGTCACTTTCCTCTCTTCTCCTATCAGCATGCCCCTGCTGTGCAGGTTGTTGCAAGAGGCTGATACCAGGTCAAATTCAGGTACTTGGACTGATTACATTTAAATAAATAAATGTAATGATGCATTACTGAATAGAGCGCTATATTAATTTGTTTCTTTTTGCCTAGAGTTCAGCTTAAAGTATATGTAAAGCCAAAATGTTTTTCATTTTGGATAGAGTAGGGGAGGGTTAAAACCATTATTCATTTTTTGCCATCTGTGTCTTCACTTCCTGTCCTGTAGACTGCACTGGAAGTGTGAAGATATCTTTACAATGTAAGCCTGTTGCTTTGTGCATGGGAAAAACACAGGTTCACTTTAGGTACATTTATATTTTCATATGTACACGAAGCTGAACTAGCCATGATGACTTATTAAAGCTTCTTTCATGCAATTGTTTAAATAAAGCACCTAGGGCAGGGGTGGCAAACACAAGGCCCGCGGGCCGAATCCGGCCCGCCGGACCTTGTAATGTGGCCCGCACAGCGCTGCCTGGAACCTAGGGCATGTTTTTCACTGACGCCAAGTTTATCCCAATTATACACTTGTCCACATTCAATGGATGTGTCTTTGCCTTGCATTGACATGAACACTTGTGTGCCATTGATCCAGATTGCTTCTGAGGGAGTACAACATAGTGGGGTAGAACACCTCCTGAAATACACAGCCGCTGGCTACTCTTCTGCAATTAGTGCACTTCATCTAAAATCTGTGTAGGTGTATTACCATAAAGTGAGATCTTACTACAATGAATAAAATAGGTCAGAGCTCATCTCCATACAGGGCGATCATTGCTGCCCAATAAATATGTAAAAAAAGCAATGTAAATCCCTTAGAAATAAATGCTAGCCTATATATTTTTTTAAATGACATCTATTTAAAGCTTAGAGCCTTCCAAAACCAAAACCGATCCTGATTTTAACATCTCCAGATGTTTGCATACACACACACACACACACACACACAT